AAAAAAAAAAAAAAAAGCGCCCAGGTGCTCTAAAGCTGTAAACAAGGAGAAAAGAGGAAATTTTCTCGCTTTCAGCGCTAATTAGCACCAATTAGTGGCTGAGCCTCACTTTCCCCATGAAGGGAGGAGGAGGGTGTCATCCTTTCATTGTTCATTAGTGCCACTTACTAAGGGGTCCTTTCCACTCCCCTGTGGTTCTCTTAATTAAAAGTGTTGCATTTATTCTCACCTACAGAGCCTTCATTTATAGAGAGGTGTGAGCTCACAGCCAGTCCTGATTACATGGCTCTTCTGTTCCCCTGGACAGATGGCTGAAGATTTTCTTTCAGTTATGAATGAGCAAGAGAAGCAAACAACAGAGTACATCCATGTCACAGATGAACCCACCTGTTCCTCTCATCCTGCTTATCGACCCCCCAACATTTTCAGTGAGTAAGACCTACTGGCCAGTGCTTCTGAAAACCATCACTGCTGTAGCCAGGGCCACAAGCAAAAAGACCAACTAGCCTCGTACATCAGCATCCACTCCCTCCCTCATCCCTCTTCCACCTACCCTGGGTGGTGGTGGGAGTCAGACTCCCAGGGGCTCACAGCTACCAGGGATTGGTCACCACATAACAGCCAGCCCCCACCCTCCTCCACGGAAAGTTCCTAGTCCAGACACCTTGTTCCTGCCATGCTAAATCTATATGCCTTTTAAGGAAACTGTCAGTGAATGAATAAACTAGAGCCCTAGATCTGGAACCAGCCTCAAAGACCATTGAGACTGACTGTTTTCCCCAGTAGGTTCCAAAAATGCCGCTTCCACTGCTTGCCAGTGGTTGCAACTCAGAAAGTGGGTTTCTTAGGCAAGAAGTCTGGGAAATCTCTAGGTGGTTCTTGATCATGGGAAAGGGCAGCAGGGCTCAGCCCAGCAGAATTTCCAAACCTATTTCCAAAGTCCCAGAGTCTTTCTGCATAGCACACGGCGGAAGCCTTGCATTTTGTAGGCCACGGCTTGGTACGTGCTGCCCAGCACCCCTGCCATCATGGGTGCCCAAGACACTGAGTTACCCTTAGCTACCAGGTGGGTAGAGGTGCCAGAAAAGGATGTTACGAGTGAATTAAAAAGAT